CCTCTTCTTCAGCAGCCTGTGGGTGAGTCTGGGGGGAGCTTACCCTCACTAGGGTCGGTCCCCGTGGGGCTGGCACCCCTGCCTGTGTGTCTGGAGAGGCTCGTGAGCATCACCCTGGTGGCTCAACATCTCTGCCCCGCCCCAGAGCTCCCGTGTGTCTCCTGGCGGGCGTGGTACCAGTCTCCGCCTCAGCATCCCGATCAGAGCCACCTGCAGAAACTTCACCCATCTCCTTGCCTATACACCCTTCAGCTGTTTTAATAAGAGAGGCAGGATTCTCATAAGTGAAATCAGTGGGATCTAGGCATGAAAGTCCTGTGCTGGGATTCACAATAGGAGTGCGATGCCTAAATAAATAGATTTTGTTGTTATTTGGGAGTTAGGTGTCTAAACACCTGTGGAATCTGAGCCTTGAAGCTCAATCTGGAATGAGTGAAAGGGGACCAAAACAAGTCTCAATATGAAATCTATGCTGATGTTACTTTGAAAGACATGAGGAAGCTAGCATCACTTTCACTTCACCTGTATCTGACCTAGAAACTTTTTGTGATCAGTATACCCTAGCAGTGTAGTTTTGTGTTCTAGCAAAAGTTCTAGTCTAGATGCAGTGATAACATAAATGTGTTTATTTAGCTCATTGAGCTGGTGGTATAAGCTACAGCAGCAAAACTTTTTTTTGCTAGTATTAGTGTCTACATTAAGATGGTCTGTTAAAGAAACCTACCTTAAACATCTCAGGAGCACCAAACTGCTCATTCACTCATTCCTAACTTCTAACCATACTTTTATCTTAATGATGGATTGGAATTGTGGCAGACAGTAGGGATGTTAGATATAGTGAAATTTAATACTTGTGTAACTTCATGAAATCTTATCAGTTACACGACTATCAGGGGGCGAGGCTGGTAGTCAGTGTGCTCCCGGAGTGAGGGGGGGAGCACCCTGCCTTCCCATGTTGCTGCCTCAGGCAGCAGCGCAGGGTGGCAGGCAGGAGTTGGTCCTCAAGGGGAGCCAGTTTAGAAACCAGCTCTTCTTGCAGGCTGGCTGTTTGCTGCCCCACACTCCTCCTTGCGGACAGAGCCTCTCTGCCTCCCACAGAGCAGCCTCTGTCTGCAGTGATCCTGAGCTGGAGGCTGAGCATTGACATAGGTCCATGGTCCAGTAGCAGCCCCTGTCCTGGGGGTGCTGAGCTCCCTGCAGACAGAGGCTGCTTTGTGGCAGCCTCCCCTTCTCCCCTGTGCTGTTGCCTCTGATAGAAGCTGCAGTATGGGGGCAAAGGTGGCAACACCACAGAGCTGGTGCTGGCAGAAACTGGCTTTTAAGGAAGCTAGCATGCATAGAGAGCCAAAAGCTGGCTCCCCGCACATATCGGCTCAAGCCTGCCCTTCTTGACCTTCGCACTCCTGCCTCTCCATCAGAGGCAGCAGCAAGGGGATGGAGGGCAAGGTAGGCAGATATAGTGCTCATGGGGAGCCTACTTAAAACCAGCTCCTCATGGGCACCAGCTCTCGCTCCCCCTTCCCCCTGCCTCTGCTATAGGGATGTCAAAGTGTAGTTGACTACATGATTAACTTATAAGCCTTAGCTTATAGATTAATGTTATTGACGACCTGCAAGTGCCTCTTTTAGGGATGTCAGTGTGTAGTCCACTACATGATTAACCAATAAGCCTTGGCTTATCAGTTACTCATATAGTGGACTACACTTTGACATCCCTAGCAGACAGCATAATGTTTTTAATAACTTAGGACACTAAAAATCACTTTGCCCTACCAAGAAAATTCCTTATTGACAGAAATCTTTAATTTACGTGGTATTTTTCATCCTAGCACTTTCCCAGAGTTCTTCCCAATCAGTCTGCTGAGCTTTTACTTTAGGGTATCGCGGAGTATACTACACACCATTGACAAGAAAAGGAAATTTTTGGGGCACTGAAGTAAACTTTACTGCTATACAGAACGCTGAGGAATCTGTTCTGCTCATGTAGGGCACATGTGACTTTGAAACTCTCATTCAGAGCAAATACATTAAATGTCTTTAAATGTTTGGCTTGAGGCTCAAGAGTATGGTACTGAACAGTTTATATAAAATTAAACATCAACATTTGTGGCATTGGTGCTGGAACTAGAGGTGCTGGTATTGCAGGAGCATCCTCTGGCTTGAAGTAGTTTCTGTTATACCCAGGATTTACAGTTTTGTTCAGTGGCTCTCAGTACTCTCACTACAAATTGTGCAGCACCCCTGAGTTGGTGCAGCAGCACATGTATTTAATCCAAGTATTTTATGCATATACCAGTTTCAATTTTTACTTTCTGCCTAGTTATGCATCCAATCCTAAATTGTTGCACAAAGATGGTCTGTAATCTTAAATAGCTTCTGTGTTCTATGCTAGTTTATTTTTACCACTGAGACAAATTGAGTATGATAATATCTTTTATTGGTGAAAGAGACAAAGCTTTTGAGCCTACACAGAGCTCTCTTCAGGTTTTGTATTTTTACAGTTCTTGATTGAGAGAGATGATCCTTCTGTCTCTATTTTTTGCAATTTATTTCAGAGATGCTTAGAGTTGTGAAACTTGGAGATTTTTAGGGCATGACTGACATGAATAAACATTTTGTTTAAAAAATGAGAAATAGAATTTTTACTTCACAGTATGACCATATTGTATGACAGTTTGTACACTGATACACACATTAGGGATGTAAAATCCAGTTTAATAAGCCAACCATTTTAAATGTAATGTTTAACCTGTTAACGGATTTAAAGGGAGGCAACCCCACCCACCTGCCACAGCTGGGCTGGAGTGCCCTCCCTCTCTGCTGCAGACAAGGGTTGCTTTGGCCAGCTGGCTGGAGCAGCCTCTCTCTGCCTTTGGTGCGCTGGCCAGGCCTTCCATGGACATGGGCTGTTCTGGCTGGCTGCTCCAGCCATGCTACCTGTTAACCGGAACCAGTAAGCTTCACCCGTTAAGGATGAGATTTACCAGTTAACTGGTTAACTATTCATGTCCTTAGCGCGCGCACAGTGTTTTAAAGGCAGTTACTAAAAAGACCTATTAATTTGTTGAGTTTAAAAGCTTTAAGATTGCGAAGTCAAGTACAGTACTCAGAAATCAGGACTATGGATGTGAAAGGTTAACCTGAACAGATAATTCTTACTGGTAAATGGTGGGGGCTGGAGCAGCTCACTGCCTGCTGCAGGCAGGGGGCTACTCAAGCTTGGCAGGAGTTCCATAGCGGACAAGGCTGATCTTGTCTGGGAGCTGGGCGCGGGAGCCCCGCATGCCTGGGGCTGGAAGGGTCCCCAGCCTGGTCAACCTAATGTTTAACGGGTTAATTAACTGGGATTTTACATCACTAATCAGGACATGACAGAATTAAGATTGCATGGATAGGATAAGATCAGATTTTTTTTTTAACTGGACAACTCTCTTTTCCCTCATGTCATGCACAGGATGAGTGGTATTCCGGGAATGGCTTAGTGAAGTAGGAGATGGTATTGGGCTTTGAGGGGTGGGAGAATATATGACAAGAACTAAAGACATTTTTATAATGTATGCACATATGGGGTCAGATAAGGTCCCACAAGAAATATGAATTCTGGAATTTCCTAACTGGTGAGGGATTAATTTTACAATGTATACATGCAAAAGCATACATTAAAAGTAATTGTTTCTACTAAATTTACAATAAAAATAAATTGCCATTCTGTACACACCACTAAACTGCCATGTACATTTTTACACCACCACATTAGTAATTGGCATTGTAACCAGTCTTGACCAGGCAATGTATTTCTCAACATTTACTTTTGCTAAAGTCACCTCAGTAAACTATGAAAGTTAATGAGAGCGCTTCCCTGTGACAGTTATTAGGTTACTATTTTTGTGCCTTGATCAGTGATGTTTAACAAGAAGCAGTTTTCTTTGAAACTGCAAAGCAGGATTTGAATTGGTTTTCCTCTTTCTTATAAGAAAGGGTTATTGGTATGTGGTAAAATTGAAATGTAAGTTTGTTTTTTAATTTTTTCTGAAAGTTATCAGGATTTTTGGACTTCAATAGGATTTTGTTGAATTACTCTTTCTGCTAAAAAGAACGTGCTTTCTTTTTTTAAAATTAATATTGGTAGGAGAAGGTAGTCTAACAGTTTGGAGACCTGGAGTCCTATACCTGCAGATTAGGCTGATCAGTTCCTGTTTATCCTTATTGCGAAAAGACCTCCCACTCACCATTACTGGTAGTCTCCCTGGTTTATACAATCTGTTGCTGTCCCTAGGGATGTTAATGTGTAGATGACTACACAATTAACTAATGAACCTGGGTTTATTAGTTAATCCTGTCAATTACATCACCCCTACCGCCCCTGCTGCCTCTGTATCAGCTTAAAGCCGGCTCCCCATGAGACCCAGATCTGCAAGCTCCCTCATCTCCTGTGCTGCTGCCTTTGATAGAGATGCAGCAGTGTGAAGAGCGAGGGGAGCTGTCTACACGTGCCTTCTCAGCAGACCTGCCTGCCCCTTCTCATGCTGCCTCCTACAGAGGCAGCGGGGGAAGCAGTCAGGAGCCAGTGTTGGGGAGAGTCAGCTTAAAAGGGGAGGCTGTGGAGTAGCCTTTGTCTGTGAGGGGCTGGTTTGTCAACTGGCTCCCCTCTCAAACTGGTTCCCGCCTGCCTTCTTGTGCTGCTGTCTCTGATAGAGACACAGCAGTGCAGAGTGACAGGGGGCTCCCCAGGTATGGGGCCTGGAGTGCATTGGCTGTTGGCTCCATTTCCGGGGACTATCAAATAGTCAAGTAACTGATTATTTTTGTGCGGTTACATGCTATCTAACATTCCACTAACTCCCAATGATCAGTTTTCTCTGGTTTTTAAAATAGAGTAATGGTTTCTTCTCTTCAATTAACTCTTTCGTTAGTGAATATAATCCATGAATGTATTCCTCTGTAATAGAAACCCAGGATTTGCCATGCTGGAGAAAACCAGTGGTTCATCAAGTTCAGAATTCTGCCTCTTTTACTGGTTGA